GCGTTGTCATTGACATCAGAGATCTGTAAGGTGAGAGTGACGCTGCTGGAGAGGGAGGGCACTCCCTCATCAGAGCAGGTCACACTGATGTTATATTCAGAGGCTCTCTCTCTGTCTAAATCACTGTCTGTAATAAGACTATAGAATTTTTCTGATGCTGACTTTAATATGAAATTATTATTGTCATTAATGACGCAATGCACTTTTCCATTTTCAGTGGAGTCTGCATCGTCCACATTAATCATAGTCACAACTGTGTTTGTTTTCGCATCTTCTGATATAACATTTGATTTTGACATGATGTGAATATCAGGGAGGTTGTCATTCATGTCTATTACGTCGACAATCAGTTTACAAGAACCAGTTAGTCCTCCATCATCACTTGCACGAACATTTATCTGAAAATTCCTGTTCTTCTCATAATCAACCTTTCCATTTAAAGTAACCTCACCAGTTCTTTTATTTATTTCAAAAATTCCACGGGCATGATCGAGTATATTTGAAACTGAATAGGTTATTCGGCCATTAGATCCTTCATCTGCATCTGTTGCAGTAACTGTCAGTACAGCGGTTCCGACTGGTGAATTTTCCCTTACAGCAGCTTTATAAATAGGTTGTGTAAAAACAGGAGCATTATCATTAACGTCTAAAATGGTAATGTGAATCTGCATTGTTCCTGTCATCTGCGGCTCTCCACCATCCACCGCCGTCAGAACTAAAGACAGCTGTTCGTTTTTCTCCCTGTCCAGCGGTGCATTTAATACCATTTCGACATTTTTAATACCGTCTCCTTGATTATTCATCTTTAGAGAAAAAATATCGGTTGGTTTAAGGACATAAGTTTTTAAACCATTTTCGCCCACATCCAGATCGGTCGCTCTATCTAAAGTGAATGTCGTGCCACTGAGCGCAGACTCGCTGATATTAAAATGAGCCTCGGTTGTGATGAAGATCGGAGGGTTGTCATTTATATCTATTATTTCAACAGTAATACTGTAAAATTCCATCGGATCTTCCAATAAAAGCTGAAAATGCAACGCGCACGGCGTCATTTGTCCACAAAGCGCCTCTCTGTCTATCCTTTCGTTGAGCAGGAGAATTCCCCTTTCTCTGTTTAGCTCGATGTACGCAGTGCTGTCTCGAGTAAAAACGCGAGCCCTGCCCGATTTCAGTCTTTTAACATCTAATCCTAAATCCTGAGCTATGTTACCAACGAAAGAGCCCTTCGCCATTTCCTCGGGAATAGAGTAGCTGACCTGTCCGAGGGCTGCACCGAGGGAGAGGACCGAAATGATCAGCAGTACTTGCCGGCTCATTGTTATGTCCGAGATCGTCGTTAAGTCCATCTGCAAACGCCTTTGTCCTTTTTCACGTGTGTTTATCCCAAATCCGAAATCCACAATCACAAAAAAATCCTTTAAAGATGAAAGTAATTCCCGTCCAGTGTATACGTATTTGAGGTATGTTAGATTCCCCACATGCGCCTTTTACTGCACCTTCCTGTCTTGTTTCTTGCTCAGTGTGTGGAAACGATGGGAGGTACCACGGATCAGCAATAAAATTGAAACAATCTGGTCAACAGCGTCTCTCTGAGTACAAAGTCAAAATTACACAAGAAATGCTTAGATCAAAATCGTAGCATTTAGGCGGAGATGAATTGTATACACCGAGATTGATTTTGGCACAACAACCCAGTGTGAGTGTTAGCTTACAGAGAAGGAGGCTGTGGATGAGCGTATTCTAAAAATAATGAGTGAAGATAAGATTGGAAACTAAAGAGAGGGAAAGCGAAATGAATATAATTTCAGAACAAAAGGATTTGTATCTGGTACTATCCTTGGTGCTGAAATGTATGAATCATTTGAAGGCGTGACAACTACAACGCTCATTTTAAATGTCAAACATGGATTAACATTTAACATGTCAGGACAAGAGTCTGACTAAGTTAACGAAGACTGCCTCTGTCCATGGTTCAGACTGCTGACTGATAAAGACGTTAAAGATGTTAATTTCATATGTTACACAAGGCATACATGTAAACACACCAGACTACTGAAATGAACCCCAAACAACCAACCTCTAAAGGAGAGTCTGGTTCATCCAGGATGCTCTTCTCACTCTGCATCCGCTGCATCGTTCCTGTACAACTCGGATCCATTATCAGCACGTTCTGACTAC